ATGGAGTTTAACTCCTTCAGCCATTGCCTGTCATGTCTTCTTGATGTTCCCTTCTCTAGCCTTCTGAATGTGACAAGGTAAAATACAGACTCAGGTGCTTCATACTTCTTTTTATAGACTTCTGCAGCACAGACATATCTCAACTGGGAGACAGACACTGATTTTAGTTAGTGAAGGGCTATCCCCATCTCTTGTTCTATCAGTCTCACTAATGCAACATAACTCTTCCCTTAAGCTTACTTTGATCATTGCTGCCTTTTAAAGGCCCTTTTCCTTCCACAGATGCCTAGGCACAAACACTGTTGGAAGTGGAGGAGGTTATCTGAGGAACTTTGCTTCCCTGACCCCATCACTGGTATTGTAATGAGATATCCCTTAGACTGGAAACAGGGCTTGAGAAGACAACACAAGCTGTTTCTGAGAAATTGCATCCCAAACTACCTCTTCTGTTAGCTGTTCCAGAAGGCAACAGTGCTCCTATTGACATGAGAAAGGAGCAGGATTTCTTTCCTCTACTCCTTTAAGCCCTCTGGTTTGCTAGCCATTGCAGGTTTTGAAAATGCCTGTAATGAAATTGTTTGCAGTAGCAAGGAGCTGGACTTGATCCAGAGGTCCTTTAAAGACCTAAACTGGTTTAGACTAAAATATTGCTTTCTAGTGTAGTCAGCAACACTGCAGGTAGTAAGAAAAAAAAGGATAGCTGTATTAGATTCAACATTTTGATGATTAGGTGCATTAATCCAACACACAGGGTAATGTTCATGTTGAATATCTAAAACAGAGTTCTTTGCAGACTGCTTACTACTTCCTTCTCTCTGCCTTGAGATTCCTCAGTTGTGTCTTGTGGAGAATAGGGCGTTTGAAAGGCCATTGGGTTGTCTTGCAAATGGCAAACTTGAGTCTTGGAGTGTGATCGCGTCTGACTGTGCTCAGCCTGTGGAACCATTTGGGACTGTTGCCTTGTGAAACCGTGCAGTGTGAGATATGGCGTGTTGGGGCAAGTTTGATGGGTAGCAGGCTGGACATTTGGAATTATCAAGCCTAGAGTACCCACATTAAAATCCTTTATTAATGGAACCTACCTTGCTTGTTTGAAAGAGACACTCTGGTAAGCTTAGCGGCCTGATATAACAGTAATGGAAGTACTATACTGGAAGGACATGAACAAGAAATGCCATTGCTCTCACCTAGTTGCTGACATCAAGAAGACATTTGGCTTTGGGCGAGTTTGTTGTAATTTTGTAGCAAGAGCTCTGGCTTAGGTTTCTGTATATTTTTGCTTTAGTTTGTCTCTCTACACCACAGAAATTGCGAATCCCTGCAGTCAGAAGAACAATAAGAACAATAAATAGCAGGAATGAGTGCCCCTTTCATTAACATTTCCCCAACTTATTAGTACTCATCACTTTGAAAATAGGGAACCAGGAGGTTGGCATCTGTCCTCTGTCATCAGAGTATGCTGTATGATTTTGGGAAGCTTAGGTGTAGATTCTGTAGACCAAACAGTTCAGAGAAAATACAAAAGGTTAAAGAGGAGGAGATACCTACCTAAGTGGGGGAAACATTAAAATCAATTAAAGTACAGAAAGAGCAGTTCATCAACAGTAAAACAGGTGAAGTCCCGGCTGGCCAGCCAGCTGTCTGCATCTATCAATTCTCAGCACCTGCAGACAGACATTTTGTTGTTCATATCCTGCAGCTACTCGGCACTAAGGCAAGGATACTTTGGGAGAAGCAGAGACAGAGAACAGCAGACATTTGAAAGGAATTTTGGACAGATGTAGGAAAAAAAAAATCATACCTTCTGCTAAGGCTGAAAAATAAGTTAGGAACACCAGGGGCTGTGCACTGGGAAAAGCCTTTAGGTCACTCAGAGGGGAAAGGAGGCAAGCAGGTGTATTGTGCGAGCATCGTCTTTCCCTTTCCCACCCCTCTGCTGGGTTGAGTATGAATAGCCTTGCCTTCTACATCCTGTAAGGATGATTGCTGCTATGGTATGCCAGTTGCATGGCTGCCAACCTCTTCTAATTTGCATGTAATGTATGGCAAAGCCATAATGTCATTTCATTGCGTAGATCTTGCCAGAGACCACATTCAGAAGCCTGCTATGCAGTTTCTGGCTCTGACTCCACAGCATTAGTTACCCCATCAGCCCCTTTGGCATTGAGCTTACAAAATCGAGTCCAGATGCCAATTACTTTAATGAGGCTGCAGATTCTAAAAAGGACACTCCCCCACACACCTTGCCCCTGGCTACTGTTTCCCTGGGAGCGGGCACGGGTGGTTTTGACAGACACTTATTTTTTTGCAATGAAGCATGCAAGAACATCTGGGGAAAGAGAGGGACTTCACAGTTGTCTGTAACTGAGAAGAAAAAGGCAGCTTGGCACAACTGCCTTGGATGTCTTTGGCTGACAGATATCATGTGAGTTGTGCCTTGTGAACGCAGAACAGCCTGGGTGCCTTTAAAGTACACCAGATGCAGAGGTATCACTTTCCTGAAAGCACTGCTGTTGTTCTGCTTCCTTTTAATGGTATAGCCTCAGCAGGAAAGCTGGATGTGAGGTAGGGCCACAGTTAGGAAAAGTCTGGGTTATCAAAGAGAAGGATTTGCAGCCTGTGCAAAGAGAAGGATGTGCAAGCCTGTGGATGCCTGGAGGGAACTTGATGTGGACCAGCCAGAATTTTGTTGTGCTAAGGTTCTACCAAAGGCAAAACCCTCGACACACACAAGGGCTTAAAAATAATTTTTTGCTTCAGTTCTCACAAACGTCGGTGTTGCCCCCCTATGCTGAAGGGGAAATTGCACAGTTTGGAGGATATAACTCAGCCTGTGCTTTTCCATAAATTCAATCACTAGAATGCAACACATACCCTCAACATTAGAGAAGACTCCTCCCAGCCATGAAGGTCCTCAATCCATGAGGATTGCCAGATAATAACAGATCCATCCTATACAGGCACAATTACCAAGTCAAACACAAAGGGTTGCAGTCTCATCTCCTTTGCAAGCTCTTGGACAGGGAAATCTTGTTTTGTTCGGCTCTTTCAGTTTGTTTTGTGTAGCACAAGAGGACACTGGCCCGTAATCACAGAGCCTGAGTGCAGCTGCAGTCCATCTGTTGAGATTGTGACAGCAGTGTGTAAAACGAAAGAAGTCCACTGAAATCAGTGGAATCGTTTCCACTCTCAAGGGACTGAGGCCAAGGTGGGAACAGGGATCAGAGTAACGCTGTGGCTGTGGACTGATTAACTTCCTCTGCCTGTGCCTCAGTTTCTCCATCTCAGAACTTGTTGATGACATACTTTTGCTATGTTGCATTGTGTATTTGAGAGTGTTGTGCTGTCTGTAAAGGTGGTTATAATCCTCAAATACTGTGGGAGTGGGAGGGATTATCATAATTATTTCTGACAAGCAGCTATAATTCATCTTTGCTTACCAGACCCCTATGGTTGTTTTATTGTGAAATGAGTAAAGGTTATTTCAGTGTGGGAATCATGTGAGCTTATTTGTTGTGGAGCCTGGTAATAAATTGGCTTCAGACAGTGTTGCCTGAGCTGTGCAAACAGAGAAAATTTTATGATTCTTAATTTAATTTGTGTTTTCTATTTCACACTATTTGTATTCTCTCAAAGTCTGAAAACACTTCTTCACCGTTTGATCTGGACTTTTCCCATTTGATGAATGCTGATTATTTCCTTTTCTCCTTTCCTGAGTTTTTTTCTTTTTTTGTATAAATACAAAACAATGACTTAATTAAGTCAGTCTCTTGAAGGTAAAGCTTTTTTTTTAGTTATTTTAAGCTCCCTCCACTGGAGGCTTCTGCAACAGCATTGGAGAATGAACCAACCTGAGATAAATACCATTTGACTTGGTTTTATGCTGTGTGTTCCTTAAAGAAGTACACGAAAGGGAGGTGATGTTTATCTTTTATTTAAGTCCAGAATTTTCTGCGAGGGGATCTTAGAGAATTTAACACACATTAAAGGCTTAACCCTTGTTACAGACCTTTGGGAAGTGAGTGCAGTGCTTTTAGGGCAAAATATATGGATGTAGTTTAGAAGCAACCTTAAGGGATATACCAGGGAATAGGACAAGAGAAGGAATGCAGGATCATAGTGAAAGCTGCAGAGAAAGTTCTTGCACCATTTTGAATGGACAACAAATGTAGCAACAGAAGAGAAGATGGTATTGTCCAAACTGAGAAAGTCAGAAAAAGGAATCAAATGAAAGGCTCACAGGATTGAATGAAATAAATTCAGAAAATGAAAACTCTGCAAGTATTCTTCACACCACCTTTCCTCCTAAGTGTCACTACACACTCTTCCATCCCATGCCTTCTGCTCAAAACGAGTTTTCTAAATTCTGTTGCATGCTTACTGCACTGAAGAAACCTGCTGCTTAGAGCATTGCCTGCAGTAATGTTACTGCATGACATGCTGTCCCTCCTCACTTGTGCACAGTGCCTGGGGAACCCTCCCTTATCAGGGAGAGCTTTGCAAAGGTGTGGGTGACAGCACAGAGACAAAGCTTAATCGCATGGTGCTTTTTCTTCATTTTTGTGTACAGCTCTTAATAGCTGTGTAATAAACCAGTATTGATGAAAGAGGTCATTTGCCATTAACTTATTTAGTTTTCTGCAATGAGCTGATGTTTAATTAATGTGTAATAACTTTTGCAACCAAATGTACCCTTTTATGTTTACTATAAGGGACAGTTTGAAAATCAACTTAAGCGACCAGTGACTGCAAATGTATTTATTAAGGTTTAAACATGTGTAAATGAGTTTGTGCTTATTTGCAGAGCTGTTAAACTACAGTAAATATGTTTTTTTGTCAATTGGTGGTTAATTAACATTCATTAGTTCTCCATTAAGAGCACAGTTTGGTGTCTGAATTTCCTTGCTTTGGATTACGGCTGTATTTTTTCCTCTTTCTACACAACAGTTTTCAAAATCCATTGCCAGTCCTTTGAATTTACCTTGCAAGGCAGGAGATTCAAAAAGGGAGAAGTGGAATTTTATTGCCTAAAGTCAAAGCTCCCATTTAGGAACTTGGCAGCTTCCTTCTTCACACATCTTTCTCTCCCAGACTTTTGAAGCCAGTACAAGTTGTAGAGTTCTCCCAGTTGTTTAATGCCTTTGTACCTCTGTGAGGGCTTTTGGAACCATTAGTGCAAAAGCTGCTAACACCTGCATGGAGGGTAGAGAGTGGACAGATCATGGAGGTCCTATTTCACCCCAAAGGAAATTTGCAAGGCTGACATTCCTGAATAAAGGCTTTTGGGGGCGAGGGAGTTAGGTACAGGGAGTATCCCCTCGGCTGGCCGCTATGTCAGCAAACAACCACAAGGTGACACTGTCCCAGTACATTATTTATGTTTTGACAGACGAAGGTATACATTTCACGTAAAAGATTGTTCTAAGCATCAGCATCCGCTCCATGTTTCTTAACTGAGAACTGTCTGAGCCAGGCATCATGCACTTGTTAAACCTAGAAATTAGGGAGATTTTCAAATTACCTTCAATACATGTCTTGTTACAGAGTGGATAGCCTTCAACAGTGGCAGTCCCAATCCACCTGCCCCTACTCACAAAGGTGTCTGGGAACTTTGTCCTACAACTGAAAAATGCCAGATCAGTCGTCAGTCCCAAGTCATCATCAGAGCAGTTCTGTCGTTGTCCTCCATTCCTTTGCAGCTGTCAACATTTGAGGTGATGGAGTATGTTGCTTAGAGGTAGATCCGGGGAAAAGTCCTGTTTCTTTCTTCAGTTGTGCAAATATGCAAGTAGAGAAATATAGGCCTGAGAGGCCTTTTACAAGTTAGGCTTTTGTCCAGAAATATTTATTTATTTATTTAAATGCAATAATGCTTTGGTTGTTTGCTGGAATTGGTTTTGGATGGTTTTACCCAGTGAGGTTAAGCTGTGCTATGTGTGTAACTCAGGTGTTGAGTAACAAGATCTGACATACATGTAAATGGTTGATACAATAAGCATCTGGGAATGAGTCACCATAATGTATGTCAGGTTTTTACAATCAGACATAGTATCAGAAGCATTTTTGAAAAAAAATAAAAATCTGTATAGTACACTAAAATAAAGGGAAAAGGCATGTTTGTAAGGGTAGACTTTGACCTGATTTTCCCCAGGGTGATGTTTGTTTACATCTGGCCATCCTGTTTTACCAGGTTAGGTTTAAAGAGTTAACTGGGTTGCTTGTATGTGTAATCATGAATAATCAGCTGAATTTGATACTGTTCAATTGCCACATGCTCTGCGCCTGCAAACGTCTACTTTGGTTCTAGTAACATTACCTAAATTAGTAGCAATGTTAAATGCTTCTCCTTGATTTCTCCCTCATGAACCTGCAGTCTCCCTGAGGTTTGTGGCTCTGAAATTATTAAAGGAACAGTCTCAGAAAACAGCAGAAGTTTAATCAGCTTAGTCTTGTTTGATCAGTTATCAAAGTCCCCCCTTCAGTATTGTAGTAGTTGGGACTACCAAGATAAATTGCCCCAGTGTGTGTGTAAGGGGAGCACAAGTAAAGCATTGAAACATTCAGGCCAGTTCTAGAAATGCAGTAAATGTAAATGGGCTTTCCTAGAAAAGCAGCAGCTTATTCAGGCTCCCTCTGGTCCCATGCACATTTCCAGCCTCACTGGAGAGGAAGCTCTTTGTCGTACCTGACGTGGTAGCTGAGAGGAGTCATGGGGCATTGCTGATATTAAAACTATGCAACTTACAGAGAAGGGTGCCATATCAGCAATCATCTGGGTATGTAACCCACCTTCTGTCAAGTTATAACAGCAGCTTTAATTTGAGGTGAGACATCTGTAAGTAGCAATCATGACCTTTCCTCCTCTTCCCCGCCAATTCTAGACAGGCCAGTCCTTGAAAGAACAACCCTGTAAGCTGCGAACAAGTGGACATGATGACCATATCAGCTGCAGACATAAACCCAAGGTGCCAGCTGCAGCAGAAAATCCCTCCTTCAGCTCCCTGTACACAGGCTTGACCTGAAAGAACTCATCCCAAAAAGTCAAATCTACTGTAGGATGCTTTACTGACTCATAGAAGGAGAATTGGACTGGCACCTAAAGCATGTTATTGGGGCTATTCAGCTTTATATTTACTTCTTCACTGAATTGTCCAGCCCTCCTTGCTGCAGTCAGTGCCTCTCATTCAGGAGCTCAGTAGAGGCAGTAAGGAACAGTTTGATGATGTTTTTCTGCAGAGCAGTAGGATAGGGAGGCCCAGCCTTAGGGCAGGATGGGGACAAGCAGCGCCTAACTAAGAGAGTTATCAAGTTCAGTGGAAAAACAGGAACTACAGCTCCCAGGAGGCATTCCCTTCCCAAAGGCAGATGTATTGTTGAGAGACTCAAAAAAACAAAAATGCACTAAATTCAGAATGGCTGAATGTTTGGTTCCATCAAACCCACCAAAATTTCCTAATCAACCGTGGCACTTTTTTTAAGCATTCTTGATTTTGGAAATTTGTAAAAAATATTTCAACTCTTTTCTCTAATTTAGGATGAATAATGATGAAGTTGTTGAAATTTTCCACACAGAATAAGTTCTGATTTGTTTTTTTTCTAAGCTCAGCTTTAAAAACTGAGGTAGCTGCACTTGTTTCTGTGAAGTGCTTTGATATCCATGGATGAAAAGAACTATAGAAGTGCTAATTATTGTCATACTGGTTTTAATTGTTCTGTCATACTGACGGAGCGACTGCCAGTTTTCAGCCAGTGATGTTTTTTAAAAAGATGTTGTCCAGTCCACAGTTTTCATAGAAACAGTCAGATACTTCTTTTTAATTGTTTTAAAAGAAAGAAAAAAATAAAATCCTCTCCCTGCTCAGCAGCTGCTACAGTTCTCTGATGGAAGTTCAAATCTGCCTGCATTTGTACAGGATGCTATTATCAGGATGGTAATGAAGAGAGGAGATGCAAAGCTCCAGTTGTTAGATACTACAGATAAAATAGTGGGAACTGCTAGCAAGGATAAGACTCTCTGAAATTTGATGTCTACAATGATTTAAAACGGAAAATATGGTTTACAAAACTTTGGGAATGGTGTGATTTTCACCTCTTTTATTATTACTGTTCTTATTATTTTTGAAGTACCTTTTATCATTTTTCTGGGAAGGTCTAAATGAAGTACTGTGTTTCTAGTCAGCTCAAACAGACTACTCCTACTACTACTTTTTAATTTAACCAGTTTGCAGAAAACCTTTCTTTACCCGTCATTATCCCTGGCTGTCATGGGACCTGTAGTTTAAAGGCCTCAGTGCTCTCTTCAGCCATTCTTCCTGGCTGTGCTACAGCTCCCCATAAGGCATCATGCTCGTGCAAGGCCAGTGTCATGTCAGTGGAACCTCATGGCTACACTGGGGAATGTGTTTGTCCCTACAAAACTACCCAGTAAAAATCTGACTGGTTTACCTAAGGTCCTCCAGCAAAGATAGACCACCTGGCGAGGCAGTACTGGCTGGAGCTTAATGTATATTCTAAGGGAGGGTTTAGGACCAGGCAAACAAATATGCACTAACCTATCTAGTGTGTTCTGTTGTCATGGTAGAACTATCAGTGCCATGATGTCACTGAGGGAAAGGAACCTTGCAGTTCCAGCTGTTAGTGACCTGATCTGCAACCCAAGTATGAACCAGGACATCTGTGGAAGTGATCTAGAGGTATTCATATCACCCAGCAGCCATTCCCCATAGGATAAGAAGCTGCCACATAGTAAGGACATCAGTGGACATGAGTGGGTAACTCAGTTCCACAGGTGCCACATTTTGGAGCAGGCTCTTTCTGTCTATGTAATTTATGGGAATAAGATGAAACTGTGCAGAATACTTCATAATTGCATTGTACCATCTAGAGAAAAAGCATTTGCAGAAGACATAACTGGCATTGGTGGGCACTCCCTTGTTGTCATGGCTTTGTGTGTCCCTGTGTCAGCATAAGGCAAGCAGTGACTCTCAAGAGTGACACTGGGCAGTTGGTCTCCTTAAAAAGGTAACAGTGATACTTTTTTGGAGAAGATGCTTTCTTCTTGAAAGTATCTAAAATGGTCTGGAAAATGACGTCAGACCATTAAAACATAGAGATTATTTGCTTTTCCCCCATTTCACTCTTTGTTTGCTTTCTATTTATTTCAAAAGCCAACATGATGCACCAAATGGAAACCTAAACAAAGTCTTTAACATCCAAGTCCTTCCACACGTGTATTCTTTGTTTCAGTGTAAAAAGAAATAAAAGGTCATTTACGTAAAAGCCTTTGATGCAGCAAGCAGTAATATTGTGTTGGGGTTTATTAATATGAAGCAGAAAGATTTTGCCCGTCACTGCAGTTACTACTCAGTTGTTGCCTGAGGATTATGAGGCTTTTAAAGAGATAATATGCAGTTATTTTTCCTGTTCTGGAGAGAGCCTGGTCGTTCTCCTGTGAGTCAGCTGTAAAGCAGAGGAAGTACACGCAGCGAATGTGTCACCAGGACCTTAAGAGCCCCTTTTATACCCTGTTGATGGTGGTTTGGTGCCTGACTAGGCACCACTAGGCCTCACCAACTAGGTCTCTGGCCTGGTGACATCCAGGTGACTGTCCCACCTGAGCAAGTAAAAAGGCAGAAGAAAGAATAAAATTTCTTGTTCAGTAAGTCGCCCAGAGAAACAGCACAATGACAGTGATGACTATATGGGGACTGGTTGTTTTTCTGAAAGGGCAGTGGGTATATTTAATGCATTGTCATACCTTAGAGGCAGGGAATTTTCTTTTGGAATTAATGTTGAAAATCTAAATCTGAGTCATGTAAAAGTAACTTGTAGATTTGGGGAAATCTTATGGAATGCTTCAATTTAGGAAAGAAAAATCAGGATGGATTCACACAGGTACTGGGACAAGTAGCATTTTCTTTCCTACGCTATGGTCAGCAGTCATGACCCAAAGCAAGACAATTTCAGGATAAGCCTCAATTTGTCTGTGTGAATTGACAAGCAGCACATGAAATTCTGCCAACCTGGCAGGCTGGCCTCCACTTTCTTGTGCCCAGGATCAGGTCCATGCCTTGGACCTTTGTTGCTCTAATCGTAGGCATGAGGACACAGGATGCTGAATGTGACACTGCTTTGTAGCCAAAGTGCAGGCGCAGCTCTCTGGCCTTGTAATCTTTTTGCCAAGAGTGTTTACTGGGGGAGTGAAGAGACAGGAAGTATGTTACAGCTGCATCAGCAGAATGTCAACTTAAGATGGCTTTGCCAACGGAGCTAAACCTTTAGGTCTTTCTCATGGGAGCTTTAAGGTGAAGCTGTCTTTGGGGGCATGTATTAACAGCCTAATGAAAACGAGACAGTATGATTTTAACATACGTTAAGCATAATGGCAAGAAGTAGCTTGAGGTTTAACTAACTGATTTTTAATACATCATGGAAGCATACTGCCTTATTTGTGCTAAGCTGTTAATACACATTAGCTAGCTAAATATGTGTTCTTTGCACTTCTTAAATCCCAGTACGAACAGAGCCAGTAAGAATAGTTTTATTAAAAGAACATCTATACCAAGTTAAAATCCTAAATGCACACCCTAATTGGGATTTTCCTTTCTTCTGATTGAATATAAGTCTTACTGTGGCTTTTTGTATTTTCTTTTGAAGATGTCTGATGAGGGAATAAGAAGAAATGTTTTTACATTGGTTTTTCTTCTTTACTTTTCATTGCTTATATTCCAAATGTTGTTACAAAATAATGAGAAAGCATTAATCATTTCTCTGTCTGGTCTAAGACAAATGGAAGGAATTTACAAATAATACTGAATGCTTTGGGTTTTAGTTTTTTGTTATTTGTTTGTTTGTTTTTGTTTTTTGGTTTGGTTTGGGTGGGTGGGTGGGTGGGTTTTTTTGAAACATTTTCTAGGTTTAACATCTATTTCCCTTTACCCTAATTTTCCAAAGTTTTGTGTTATGACTTAGTATTAATATGAAGTAGTTGCTGTAGCTGCCAGATGAGTCATCAGAACAGCTTTGCATTTTTCAGGGGAATGCTAGTATTTGGCAATCTCTTCCACTCTGGTGAAATAACCAAGTGTCATGGTTTAACCCCAGACAGCAGCATCATGCAGCTGCTTGGTCACCTCCCTCCACCAGCACAGTGGATGGGGAGGAGAATGAGGGGGAAAAAAATAGTAAAACTCATGGATTGAGACAAGAACAGTCCAACAACTGAAACAAAATACAATATAATAACAATAATAATAAAAAGAAGAGAGAGAGAAAACCCGAGAAAAAACAAATGGTGCACACATAACACAATTGCTCACCACCCGCTGACCGATGCCAAACCCATCCCCAAACTGCAGTCAGCCCCCCTTCTGGATAACTTCCACAACTGTATATAAACTGAGCATGACATTGTATGATAAGAAATGTTCCTTTGGCCAGTTGGAATCAGCTGTCCTGACCATGCTCCCCCATGGCTTTTTGTGCACTTTCTCATTGGCAGAGCACGGGGAATGAAAAAGTCCTTGACTTAGGGAAAGCACTACTTAGCAGCAGCCAAAACATTGGTATCTTATCAACATTATTCTCATACTGAATCCAAAACACAGCATTGTTCCAGCTACTAAGAAAAAAATTAACTCTATTCCAGCCGAAACCAGGACATTGAGGAAGACAAGAGCTGGATTCAGGGAATCGGACCACATTGAGCAGCTCGTACATCCTTTTTGGATTTGCCATTAGAGCTTCATTAGCTCGATAATCACATTCCAATCACAAAATGTTTTTCTCTGTATACTCAACCCCATCCATCTCCCTTACAGCTATCCAAACACTGTCAGCTTTATGGAGAGATACTACAGGAACTAGAAACAATGGACACCAGCTTCATATTGTAAAAGCTCTTGACTGCACACCTAAGGGTCATCTGTCCAATACTGATGACATCTTGAATCTTTCTGTAGGGAGTTGAATACATCTAGTAAACTAAAAGTACACTGTATGT